CGACACTGGGGGTTGTGATCCGTTGCCGGACACGGAAAAAAGACAAAAAAAAAAAAAAAAATGATAAGCTACAGACTGGGGAAAATATCTGCAAATCACATATCCAACAAAGGACTTTTATTCAAAATCTATAAAGAACTCTGAGAACTCAATAGGTAAGAAAACAAACTACCCAATTTAAAAATGGTCATAAGACTTAGATACTTTGCCAAAGGGGGTGTGTGGATGGCAAATAAGCACATGAAAAGATGCTCAACATCATTAGCCATTAGGGAGGTGCAAATTTTTTTTTTTTTTTTTTTTAAGATGACCAATAAGGGGATCTTAACCCTTGACTTGATGTTGTCAGCACCACGCTCTCCCAAGTGAGCGAACCGGCCATCCCTATATAGGGAACTGAACCCATAGCCTTGGTGTTATCAGCACCACACTCTCCCAAGTGAGCCACGGGCTGGCCCCAGGAGGTGCAAATTAAAGCCAGATGAGACATCACTACACACCTTCAGAATGTCTAAATTGAAAGAAAAAAAAAAAAGATAATACAACAAGATGGTGAGGATGCAGAGCAACTAAAAACTCCTGTGCGTTGCTGGTGCGAATGCAAGTGGTACTGTCACTCTGGGAAACAGTTGGGCAGTTTAGCTTACCATATGACCCAGTGATCTCACTCCTAGGTATTTACCTTAGAGAAATGAAAAGTTATGTTCACACAAAAACCTGTACATAAATGTTTAGAGCAGCTCACTTCATAATTGCTAAAAACCAGTGCTAGCTAGTTTGCTCAGTTGGTTAGAGCATGGTGCTAATAACACCAAGGTCCAAGGTTTGATCCCTGTACCTGCCGGGTGCCAAAAAGAGAAAGAAATCCTGGATCCATAATTGCAAAAAACCAGAACTAGCCCAAAAGTGCTTCAGTGGATGAATGGATTGACAAACTGTGCTGCACCCCTACATGGAATACTACTCTGCAATAAAGAGGGACAGACTATTGTGGCATGCAGGCAAAGGCCTGGATGAATCTCAAGGACATAATACTAAGTGAAAGAAGCCAGGCTCAAAAGGTTATGTCCTGCATAATTTCATTTATGACTTTCTTGAAAGGATAAAACCATAGTAATGGAGAACAGGTCAGTGGCTGCCAGCAGTTAAGGGAGGGAATAACTCCAAAGGGGCAGCAGGAGAAAGTGTTTAGGGGTGATGGGGCTGTTCTGTATCCTCAGTGTGGTGGTAGTTACATAGATCTTTACATGTGTTAACATTTATAGACCTGCACACCCAAACAAATCAGTTTTACTACATGTTAATTTAAAAATTAACTCCCACACCCTACAGAAGTTGCTCCAAGGTGCAAAGTACAGAACTAAAGTACTAAAATAGATAAAGGCAACATAAAAGCAATTAAAATGAAAGAAAAAAATCGTAATGTCAGTATGTAAATAAACAGAAGATGAAATTTGCCACGAAAGCTAACCACAAGCTTTTTACATATCTGATTGCAAAAGCCTGTTGAAGTGGTTTTCACATCCTTTTTTGAAGACTCTGTTAACTAACTTATAAGAAGTTGCATACAGTATTCATGTTTGTTTAATATGTCAATAAAGGGGCCAGCCCGGTGGCGCACTGGATAGTGCGCCGCTTGGGAAGCGCGGCGGCGCTCCCGCCCGAGGGTTCGGATCCCACATACAGACCGGTTCCCGCTCACTGGCTGAGCGAGGCGCGGGAGCAACACCGAGGGTTGCAATCCCGTTGCCGGTCCCCGGCCCGGTACGGGGGCAACACTGAGGGTTGCGATCCGTTGCCGGACACGGAAAAAGACAAAAAGACAAAAAAAAAAAAAAAAATGTCAATAAAGCTTTCAATCAAAATTTTAATTATTTTTCTTGAAGTTAAACTTTGATTCTCCCAATTATTCTAGTTGCTCTGGTTCAACACGGTGGTCCTGGGAGTGCCCTTAGCAACAAGACACCCAGGTGGGAGGCCAGATGTGGAGCTGGCTTTCAGTGAGAGGCAGGGGCTCACACCTGGGCCTCGTGTCAGTAATTTCTGGGGCTTAAATACAGATGCTCAGGATGCACCCCAAGGAGATTTAAGGAAATTTATTTATTTATTTATTTTAAAAAGATGACTGGTAAGGGGATCTCAACCCTTGGCTTGGTGTTGTCAGCACCACGCTCAGCCAGTGAGCAAACCGGCCATCCCTATGTAGGATCTGAACCCGTGGCCTTGGTGTTATCAGCACTGCACTCTCCCGAGTGAGCCACAAGCCGGCCCTTAAGGAAATTTAGAATCAGTGGGTTGGGGCCGTGGCCCGGACAGCTGTGTGTTTATACACGCGTGTCTGTGCACGCGCCTATGTGTTTTTAAAGCTCTGCAGTAATTACGCTGAACAGCCTGGTTTGAGATCCTGTGGGGTAGAAAGGAGGGAAAGAGCAGGGTACAGACCGGGCTGCAAGTATTCGGTACTGGCAGAGAAGAAAGTGGCAAGGGGAGGTGGGAGAGGACACCAGGGCAGAGTGAGGAACAGGGATCCCTGTGCCAAGGAGAGGGACTGAGACTAGCTTATAAGTAGGAGTTTCTCCAGCCCGAGTCCTAGGCTGCCTGTGCAAGAATCACCTGAGGGGAGCTGCCAACACTGCAGACCTGGGCCCCATGCCATCAGACGCTGTGAGGGTGGGGCCTGCAGTCTGCAGTTTAACCCAGTGCCCAGGGGATTCCTTTGCCCTGTGCAGCCAGAACCACTGCAGTGAGATGTGGGGCCACCACCGAATTCCCTATTAAGAGTTTGCTTCATTTGTATGTGTGTTCCACTTGTGTTTCATAACAGCTCACTCCTGGAAACCACTGCCGAGCCTTGCATTTGGGAGCGCTATAGTCTTTTTCAGGTTTCCTGGGGAACCAGTTTGTGGACTAGCCATAAAAACAGCAAACCCTTCTGCAGGTGTCTGCTCTTACAAGTGTCATTGTTTTCCAGAAGGAAATGGAACCTTTTGTGTGGGGCTCCAGGCCTGCTAGGTCTTTGCTGGAGAAGAAAAAGGTAAGGTGGGGTCTGCCTTGGGGAAGAGGTGGCACCTCACGGTTTCCTGGTGTCCTTCCCCAGGAGCAGCAGCCAAGCTGGACGGACGACCTGCCACTCTGCCACCTCTCTGGGGTTGGCTCAGCTCCCAACCGCAGCTACTCTGCTGATGGCAAGGGCACCGAGAGCCATCCACCAGAGGACAACTGGCTCAAGTTCAGGTGTGGGACTTGCCAGTGAGATATGGCCTCTGTTACTGTCCGTTCCCCATCCAGGCTTCAGACCAGTCAAGGGCCTGCTACAGTGAGGGAGGGTTGGGGAGGGTGGCATCCAGAAAGTCATAGCCAGAGTGAAATGATGGCCAAAATGGGGGGACCCAGGTAGGGACCTGAAGCTGCAGCTGCCGTATCTTTGGTCTCTCCCCCGGTTCCTTTCCCTCTCCCTCCTTTTCCGTGAGCCGCTAGTCTCAGGCCTCCTTTTACCCTCTCTTTCTGCCAGGAGTGAGAACAACTGCTTCCTGTATGGGGTATTCAATGGCTACGATGGCAACCGGGTGACCAACTTCGTGGCCCAGCGGCTGTCTGCGGAGCTCCTGCTGGGCCAGCTTAATGCCGAGCACACTGAGGCCGATGTGCGGCGTGTGCTCCTGCAGGTAATGGTGCTTGGGCTGGTGACAGGGACTGGCTGAGTCATGTCCCCCACCCCCGCTGGGACTTGGACCCTGCCACTAAGATATGTTGCTAGGGTTGGTCTGAAGACCCTGCCAGCTTCTTCACCCCTGCCGAGGATCAGCTCTGGGAGCAGCTCCCAGCAGCAGGAGCTCCCCCTCCCTGGGAGTCCAGGACTGGGCAACAAGCAGTGGTGCTTCCTGTCGCTGGTGGGGTTGTCTCTGGAGAAATGGGAATTGAGAGACGTGAGCTTGGACAAAGGCATGCAGGGGGAGCAAGGCAAGGCCTGGTAGAAACAAAGTCACTTAGAGTGACCATGTCTGTTTGATAGTGATCGGGTGCTCAGCCTCCAGGTGCCGAAGGCATCCCCCGGCATTCAGGAGGAGACCTTGCCTCCCCGCTTCTGATTGGCTGGTGCCCACATCAGCCAGTTCTGCCTGTCTGCCTGCTGTTGTTTGGGATTTTCCTCCTGGCAACTCCTTCGAGAAGCACATCTGGAGCACTTCGTTTTATTTTATTTTATTTTTTAAAAGATGACCGGTAAGGGGATCTTAACCCTTGACTTGGTGTTGTCAGCACCACGCTCACCCAGTGAGCAAATCGGCCATCCCTATATGGGATCCGAACCTGTGGCCTTGGTGTTATCAGCACCGCACTCTCCCGAGTGAGCCACAGGCTGGCCCAGGAGCACTTTGTTTTAGAGGAGGAGGATGGATTCCTGTTCCTCAGGAATAGTGTTCCCAGCCCTTCCCTGCCCTCCACAGCCTCAGGGCTACTGAGCTGATGATTCTCAGCAAATCCCACGCCAGGGGAAGGTGTCAGCGTCACCATTGTCCAAGGGCCAGTAGGATTTTGCAGAAGCCTCCCAGGAAGAAGTTGTCATAATCATACAAGCTGTCATTGATCTGTCATGTCCCCTGAGCCAGATGCTGTGTTGAACGCTAAGGGCACGTTATCATAGGTCACCCTCAGAATAACACTTAACCTCTATCCTGTAGATGAGGAGTGTGAGGTGGAGTTCATACCCAGGTGGTCTGATTCCAAGCCTGTGCTCTTAGCCTCTGTGATGTCTCCTACCTGGCTGATCCCTCTGCAGTACTGCCTGTGCAGTGCGCCCATCCTCACAGGGCTGAAGGTCTTTGTCAAAGATGATCTGCAGGAAGCAGCGGGTGCCTTGCAGTGCTGGGTGTGAGGCAGCTGTGATGTGTGTCAAGCCCCCATGTCATGAGGACCCGCAGTGAATTCGTTGCTATTAATAGGGGGTGTTTTAGCATCAGGTGACAGTGGTATTTCAGACCAGCCTTTGTCCTGTCCTCTGTTCCTCCAGGCCTTCGATGTGGTGGAGAGGAGCTTCCTGGAGTCCATTGATGATGCCTTGGCTGAGAAGGCAAGCCTCCAGTCCCAGCTGCCAGAGGTAATCTCCCAGCCTGCACCGTGGGAGAAGCAAGTCAAGGCCCAGCTGTGCTAAGAGCAAGGACTCATCCGCCACGTCACTCGCAGGCCCTTGATACAATGGGGCAAGAGCAGCCTGGATCAGTTGCTGATGAGGGATGCTGGCGGGTGGCGATGGACTTGCCCTTAAGGGGCCTCCCTGGCCTCTCGTGGGCATCTTCACTCTGAGGCTCAGCATCAGGTGTGCAGTGACAGGTGTCAGGAAAGGCCTTTCCAGGAGCTGCCCACTTGAGTCAGTCCACAGCCTTGTCACCCACTGCTCACGTTACCCACAAGCACCTTCAAAGCTGACCTCTGAGTTAGTAACCTCCACTTTCGCTGGAGAACCGTGCCCTGGAGTTGTGGCATAGGCTTCCATTGCAGCCCAGATTCTTGCTCTGAAGGGAGGGAGATGGTTGGTAAGATGGTCCTGAGGACCTATCCTGCTCTGACCCCTCTGGTGATGGTTGTAGGGTGTCCCTCAGCACCAGTTGCCTTCTCAATATCAGAAGATCCTTGAGAGACTCAAGGCATTGGAGAGGGAGATTTCAGGAGGAGCCATGGCTGTCGTGGCAGTCCTTCTCAACAACAAGCTTTACGTCGCCAATGTTGGTGAGCCGCCTGCTGGTTCCAGGGTGGGGAGGTCTGAGGGGTGGGAGGTGCACCTTGGGGGTTGGTCCTGTCTTTGGCAATCTCCTTCTAGACATGTAAGACGCTGTAGATGCAGGGTCTCCCAAGGCTGTTTATTATGTTTTCTCTTCACTCTGCAGTAATGTCTTAGTCCCAGCTTAAAGAAGAACGGACAGGATGGGAGGCAGGCATCCTGGCTTTTAGTTTCTACTCTGTCCCTAACTGGCTTGTGGCTTTGGGCAAGTCCTGTCCCATATCCGAGTGACCTCAGTGGCTGCTGCTTCTGGAAGAGAGGTTGCGTGGCTATGGAAGACCCACTCAGCATCCCCAGAAATGGCTGGGATGGGGCTGGGAGACAGGGACATTTGGATTTGTGGGCAGGGCACAGATGACTATAGGAACTGTGCAAAGACCCCACTGATGATGTCCCCCCCTCTCCTCCTTTCCTTAAGATCTCATTATGGAAAAATTTCCAAAATATAAAAAATTAGAGTGAGTAGTATTTAATGAACCCCTGTGCCCCATCACCCAGCCCCAACAATTGTCATCTTGTGGGGCTTGTTTCATCTTAGCCCATTATCCTTGTGTTGTTTTGATGCAAATCCCAGACATTGTGTCATGTTTTCTGTAAATATTTCAATATGTATCTCTAGAGAAGAGGTCTCTTTTATTAAAATCATGATCTTATGATTACACTGTAAAAGTTTAACCTAATTCCTTAATATCATCAGCTTTCCCTGGCTGGTGATTCACCCCAGTGGTCTGAGACTGACTTTCTTGCTCTTTTCAAGTATTTCCACGTGTGAGACGCCTGCATTTCTCTGTCTTTCCGATGCGTCCTATTCTATGCTTGGTCTTTGCTCAGCTGCTCAAAATATGCTGCAGGTACGAACCGTGCGCTTTTATGCAAGTCTACGGTGGATGGGTTGCAGGTGACACAGCTGAACATGGACCACACCACGGAGAACGAGGATGAGCTTTTCCGCCTGTCGCAGCTGGGTAAGGGAGACTGGCCCCTGTGGGCTCACCCTTGCCCTCCTCTTGTTGCCAGCTAGAGAGAGGCGCATAGTGGAAGGGTTGCGACCTTGGCTCTGGGACCAGCCTGCCTTGGGTCAGATCCCAGCTCTGCCACTTATTAGTTGGTGATTGAAGCTTACTCAAGTTCTCTGTGCCTCAATTTTCTCATCTGTGTGACGAGGATAATATCAACACCTACCTCAGAGTGTTGTGAGAATTAAAAGAGTTAATACATGTAAAGTGCTTCCTAAAGTACCTGGCATATTCTAGGTACTCACTATTATTGGTGGAGACTGACCAAGAGAGGCCAGAGAAGTCCTGAGATTTCAGCTGCCGTAGCCACTCCCTTTCCATATAAGCTTCCGGCAGACGTAGGGGCAGAGGGCAGCTTGCTGCTCTGTGCCGAGGCAGACAGAGGCTGTGTTCGGTGGTGCTGGAGTGCTGTGGAGGAGGGGCCTGATGAGGGGGTGTTCTGATGGGGACATGGACTGAGAACATGGGGGACTTTGGGCTAGCTCTCCAAGGTGCCCCAGTGTTGCTCGTTCCTCTTCAGTGATCCTCATTGCCTTGTTCCCATGGGTATGTCTCTAGCCCCTTCTTTTGGTCCTTCTTTATGAACAAGGAAGGGGATTGTTGCATTGTTCTCTCTGGTAGGCTTGGACGCAGGAAAGATCAAGCAAGTGGGGATCATCTGTGGGCAGGAAAGCACCAGGCGCATTGGGGACTACAAGGTCAAGTACGGCTACACTGACATTGACCTACTCAGGTAGGTGGCAAGCCCAGCTGCCCCCGTTAGTTTGAAGAAGGAGAGGGCCTGGAGCAGAAGTAGATTTTAGGTGCCACTGACAGAGGTACAGTTGAAGTTGTTCAGAGCCTAAGGAGACACTCTTCCTCCCAGAGATGTTGGTGTGGGGCAGGGTCTGGGCCCAGCAAGCCAGGAGTTAGGCTCCTATAGAGCTAGGCTAGCAAGTGGTCAAGTTGGGGAGCTGGGCCAAAGCCAAGGGCAGCAACCAGTGCCACAGAGTCTGGCAGGAGAACCCAGAGTTGGCCTGATGTTCCTGGCATGGAAAGGGATGGACCAAAAGCCTATAGGTCAGTGCTGCCCATGGCTGTGGCCACGGCAGAGGTCTGAGACAATTGTACATTTCCCTCCAAGGACACTTCCCTTCTGGGTGTCGCGCAGGTGCCCACAGAAGCAAAATGAGCAGTAACAATAATTGTGGACCTTTGTTGTGCCAAGCCTGTGCAAAGCTCTCTACGTAATTCCTTTAACCACTCCTTACTCTGGCCCTATGTGATAGGTACTATCATTACCCCAAAGACATTTTCATAAGAGGAAATAAGCATGGAGACATTAGGTAGCCTGTCTCGGTCATAGGGCTAGTGGTGGACTGAGGCAGGACTTGAACCCAGGCAGCCTGAAGTTAACCACTGGTTACCCTGTATTTGAGGCATTTGTTGGGGAAGTATGCATGTGCATTTGTGTGATGCTGGTCACGTCATTTAGTGTCACGGCCGAGCTGTGGCAGAATCATGTCAAAGACCCCATCAGCAGAGGCCAGGCCTCATGGCTTAGCACATGTTAAAACTCCTTGCCCTCGCAGGATTTAGGCAATTGAGTTTAGAACCTTTATCTTTAATTATGGTATTCCATTTGCTTTATTGGGAACCATGTCTATGGTTTAAAACAGTTCAAACAGTGCTACGGGAATATCCAATGAAAGTGAGTCTTCCTCCCACCCCAAGACAGGACTGCCTCCCCAGAGGCTGCTAGTTTCTTGTGTATCCTGCCGCCAAATTTCTGTGTACATGCACACTTACACACGTGTGCTCTGTGAATGTGTGTGTTTCATGGGGCTGAGGAGCAGGCATCCTTTTCAGAACCTGCATACATGGAGGCATGGCCTGCCTAGTGTTCTGTACCTCACTCTTCTTTTTATCTTAAACCAGTTTATTGAGGTACAGTTGGCATACAGAAAGCTGTACACATTTAATATATACAACTTGATGAGTTTGGAGACAGGTTTACATGCACCTCACTGTGTTCATTAAAGATGCCCATTCCTGCATTTATGCACATCTGCCTTTTAGGCCAATGTCATTCTCAGTAACAGCCCCTAGGATTCCAGTGTGTGGCAGTATCAGCGCTCAGTTGACTAGCCCCTAGTGATGGACCCTCAGATGCTTCCAGACTTGGCTCTTTTGAGTCTTGTGTCAGGAACGTCCTCGTGTACTTACCTCCATGTGCACATACATGCGTTGGAACTTTTTGACATTTGATGACTCTGAGGCCACATCAGTTAATGATCTCTGTGCAGATAGTAAGCTTATTTGGGATCTTAGTTGTCTTGGACATGTGCTTTGGAGGAGCCCAAATACTAGCAAGGGGAGTGGGCTTTTAAAAGGTAATCCTTCCTCTTGCTGTCCCACCCTCCACCCTGCCCTGTTCAGGCTCTATGGACAGGAGGCGTAGAACAGGACCAGAATTGGACATTTGATCTTTGCCATCCTGACTTCAGCTGCCAGCCAGGTTTTCTGGCCCTTTGAGCTATAATTTAATATCTGCCCTCAGAAGACAGGTTGGTTTTCCTGATTTTCTCTTTCCTCTATTTCTTTTCTCTTGTCAAGTTGTGTGTTTTGTTTTACCTTCTGGATGTAGATTCTTCCCCCCAGCATGATCAGCATCCACCTGGGACCGTCCAAGCAAAGCTCTCTCCTCCACTCTCTTCCCATAGTGCTGCCAAGTCCAAACCAATCATTGCAGAGCCAGAAATCCATGGTGCACAGCCACTGGATGGAGTGACCGGCTTCCTGGTGCTGATGTCTGAGGGGCTGTACAAGGCCCTGGAGGCAGCCCACGGGCCTGGGCAGGCCAACCAGGTGAGCTGGGTCTGGGCAGAACAGACACTACAGAGCATGGCTGGTTGGCCCACAGGGGGGTATGTGTGTCCCTGGTGGCTTGGAACTCTGGTTCTCAGGTGCAGTCACCAGACATCCCCTCTGGGTTCAAAGCTGGGGGGCGGAAAAGCCCAGAGCTCTAAAATACGCATCCCACCCAAGAGCTTTGTTCATTCTGGCTTGAAACAGTGTCAGTCCCCAGAGCCCGAGCAAGGCGTGAAGGGAAGAGGGTGAGGTGGAAGGGGATTCCCACGGACCACCCAGGAAGGGGCTGGGCCTGAAGGAGCGCCATGTCCTGCCCAGGGCCCTGGGGGCGGATAGTTTACAGTTTCCTTCCCCTCTCATCTCTACAGTGGGGATGGTAACATCTACCTTCGTGGGGCTGTGGGGTTAATTGTGGTAAATGTGGGTCCTCAGCCGGTGGGAGCTGCTTATTTTTCCTACACCTTGGCGCATATATGGCATACAGTTGCCACTAAAGCATGACTTTGAGGCAGTCACCATAGGGGTGCTTTTAAAGGGGAGCTGCCTTTACCTGACCTTGGATTTCTGGGTCATTAAGGTAAGTTCAGGTTGTGTTCCTCCTTCTCTCTCTGATTCTTGTGGGAAGATAACCTTTTCTGCTTTGTCCTTTTTAATTAAAAATCATGAGGAAAAAGTCTTAAGTGCCTAACTGTGCCCTGATCCCTGGGTTCAGGGTTTTTACCTATTATATGTTATTCTTTCCAGCAGCCTGTTAACATAGAGGGGCCAGGGGCTTACTTCCATGTACAGTAGGGAACTGGGGGCCCACAGAGTTCAGAGTCTTGCCTGGGTGACATCGCTGGTTAGCGATGGAGCTGGTCCCCCACAGGCCCAGGTCCAGGTCATTTCCTGTCACCTGCCTCTGCCCTCTTATCTCCAGGAGACTATGGTCCCCATCATGCAGAGGATTTTGTGTTTGTGCTTTGATCTCTTAGTCAATTATTTTTTCTTTCCTTTTCTTTTCTTTTTCTTTTTTTTTTTTTTTTATATTTTTGGTTTTCATGATAGAATTATCCAGTGGCTTCTACAAGGTTTTATTTCATTTTGGGTTTTTTTTGTTTGTTTCCTTCCTACTAGGTTTTAGAATATACTGCACAATGGACTTCTCTGAGGGCAGGGATCTTATCTTCATTCTCCAGTTCCTGACAAAATTCCTAGCATATTATATCCTATAATAAGTTTATTCCAGCATAGAATGCTTATTAATAATGACAATTGGTACTGGGCTCTTTAGTAGTTTAAAGAGTGTTCTCACAGCCATTATGTTATTTAATCCTCATAATAACCCAGTGAGGTGGATATTATCCCCATTTGAGAGGTGTGGGAGTCAATAGTCAGGGAGATCACAAGGTCACACAACTCTTTTTTTTTTTTTTTTTTTTAAAGATGACCGGTAAGGGGATCTTAACCCTTGACTTGGTGTTGTCAGCACCACGCTCAGCCAGTGAGCTAACCGGCCATCCCTATATGGGATCCGAACCCGGGGCCTTGGTGTTATCAGCACCGCACTCTACTGAGTGAGCCACGGGCCGGCCCCGATACACAACTCTTCTAATGAGAGAGTTCCAGGATTATCCTGAATACTTTAAAAAGCTCAGATTGCAAGCTTGGCTGGCAGGAACTTCCTTCATCTGCTGTACCAGTGACCCCTAAGTCTCCTGAGTGAGGGCCCTGGAGTTTGGTCCACAGTCCCTGGGCCACTCCTTGTTCCTCACCGGCTTCTCTCTCCCCTGCCCCCAGGAAATCGCTGCAATGATTGACACTGAGTTTGCCAAGCAGACCTCCCTGGATGCAGTAGCCCAGGCCGTGGTGGACCGGGTGAAGCGTATCCACGGGGACACCTTCGCCAGCGGTGGGGAGCGTGCCAAGTTCTGTCCACGGCATGAGGACATGACCCTGCTGGTGAGGAACTTTGGCTACCCACTGGGAGAAATGAGCCAGCCCACCCAGACCCCAGCCCCAGGTACGTGTGCTGTGGGGACAGGCAGCACTTGAGAGTGCTATCTGGGGCTGGAGGGAGTGCAGAGCAGTTGAGGCCATGGCCTGGCTGCTTGGAACAGAGGTGGTATCGGTAGGCCTGGCATAGAGCAGCTCTAAGCCAGCCTGTGACTCGCAGTCTCTCTGAGCTGTGTTGTTGTTTTGCCTTTTGTCTCTAAAATGAGGATAATACCACCTGCCCTGGCTACTGCTTAAAGACCTGAGGACGCGAACAGGCAATTTACAGAGCCACAAGGCCAATAATAGAGATCGCTAGTTGAATGCCTACTATGTGCCAAGCACTTTACCTGCATTAATTCCTTTAGTCCTCACTAGCAACCCTGAAGACAGATGGTACCCCATTTTACAGAGGGAGGAACAGGCTCAAGAATGAAGATAAGGTTAGGCATGTGGACAGATGGTCAAGCCCCAAAGCCTCGCTCTGTCCCTGGGCTGTGTTGGGGGAGAGGCATTTTATTTTCTACCTTTTTAATTTGTAAATCAAGATGTTTGGGAAAAGAGGTTATTTTTTGTGCTCCCTCCTAGTGCTGCTTAGTGCTAAGACCTTCAGTTCCTGACAACTACATTTCTTTCTTTTTGTTAAACAAGCAAACCCTAGAGCTCAAGCAGTCACAGATGATGTGTTCTCCCATGGACACCAGGGTTGCTGGAGTTTCTTTGGCTTGTTGTTATTGCAACCATATTTTTATTGGGTCGGCCTCAACTAGGAGCAAACTTATCCTCTGGATTAAAGCATCTGTGGGAAGCTGGGCAATAACCCTTTCATTCAGGCAACTCTGTTCCTGCTTTGAGCACCAGTGGGCTTTACTGATGAAGGGAAGGAGGTCCTGGCCCAGCCTGAAAGAGTCTCTGCAAGGGACACTCCTCCTGAGCCACTCCAAAGGGCTGAGGGCCACACCGGGGCACTAGGCATGGCCACCACCTATACCCTCAGCCCTCAGACACCACCCCCTCAGGCCCCGGAGCAGTGTTACTCCCACTACCCCAGGTTTCCTTTCTCAGCAACTCCCTGTGGCCCACCACTCTCTTCCTCCCAAAACTGCAGGGGGACGTGTGTACCCTGTGTCCGTGCCTTATTCGAGTGCCCAGAGCACCAGCAAGACCAGCGTGACCCTCTCCCTCGTCATGCCCTCCCAGGGCCAGATGGTCAACGGAGCCCACAGCGCTTCCACCCTGGATGAAGCTACCCCCACCCTCACCAAGTAAGCCCGTGCCCCAATCCTGCCACTTTCAGGCCTGCCTCCCCAGGGCACGTCCTAGGGACCTGGACAGAAATGGCCATGGGGCCAAGTCCTGTGTCTGAGAACTCTTAGATGAGATGCCCTGGGGTATCCTACTTCTCAAATTCCCCAACTCCGTCCTGGGTGAGGGAGGTCTCCCTGGAAACTGAGGCAGGATGAGGCAGCATTGCTGGTTCTGACAGCTTGTTGATGCTGGATTTGAAACGGAGTGGAGTGGAGGGTAGGCGTGGAGGGCTGGAAGGGGACAGGGCAGGGTTTCCTTTTGGGTAGCTGATGGTGACAGCCCACTGGTTGTACTTTCTTGTGGGTCCCACATACTCGTTTTTATTCAGTGGGAAGGTTCTTCTCTTGTTCTTTCCTCTCCTCCCAGTTTGGAGTATGTGCTGTAGTGTGGCCTTCCCAATGGCATCCATGCTTGGGGGACATTGTTTGGCCTGTCCTGGCTTGTCAGAGTCAGTGCTGACTAAAATGTCCGGTTTTAGTTTTGAAGTCAGTTCTCTAGTTTATCCTCCTCGGAGCTGCAGACCTGCCTGACAGGTCTGGTGTCGACCCCACCCCCTCCACTTCTGTGGAATGTGCACCCCCACCCCCACCCTACAATACCAAGGGACCAGGATCTGGTTTCCACATTCCAGCCCTGCATGGAATAATAGAGATGCCACACCCAGCCCACTCTGAGAATGGAGCTGGGCAGGATGTCACCAATTAGAAGGGCCAGGAAGGAGGGAGTGGCCCTGTTTGCCTCTGCCTCGCCAGGGGGCCTTTTGTGCCCCTTGCCCCTGTGTTGCTGCTACTGCTTTTGCAGCCACCACTGCGGGCTGGAAGGAACTTGCTATGGCCATCATGAGTGCACCCCTGCTGAGCTGCCCAGAGGAAGCCATCAGCTGTGTCCACAAAGCAGAGCGTGATCACTGTGGTCCCAGAAAAGGAAGGACAGCCAGACCTCTGCCTCCGCCTCTAACTCCCTGGGCCCCATCAGCCTCTTGCTCCCTCCAGCACCTGAGTGGTAGTTGGGTCCCCCGTGGGTTGGTGCTGGGCGTTGCTGGGAGTGTGCAGGACAGTCAGCTAATAAAGTCATTTCCCTTCCACACTCTGGGTGTCTGTCCCCACCGGGCCAATGAGAGGGGAGCAGGGGCAGAGAAGCAAAGGAAGGCCTTCTAAAAGAAGACACCTCGGCTACTGTGATAGTGGGGTTGGGTTAGGATGGGTTGGGAGGGACTGGAGTGGATGATCCCTAGCTCAGCACTACCCAGTAGAACCTTCTCATGATAGTGGGAATGTTCTGTGTTGGTGCCGTTTCATACAGTAGCCACTAGCCACATGTGGCTATGAAGCACTTGAACTAGATGTCCCATTTTATTTAACTTCAGTTAATTAATTAATTATTGATTTATTGGCAGCTGGCCAGTACGGGGATCCGAACCCTTGACCTTGGTGTTATAACACCACACGGTAGCCAACTGAGCTAACTGGCCAGCCCCTTGACTTTAGTTAATTTAAATAGCCACGAGTAGCTAGTTCTTTAAAAATACATTTCAAAGGAGAAAAAAGAAAAATAAATTAAAAATTTAAAACTAAAAATACAGTTGACTTTTTATGTGTCCCTAAGAACAAAGGGTTAGGTCCTCTGTTACAGTCACCTTTGCCAGAGAGGCCTGTGGCCCAAGGGGCTGGTAGAGGCAGGGTCTGCTCTGTCCCCACAGTGGAAGCCAAGGCCCTCTTGAGCCAGCTGCCCCTGACTGACTTACCCCCCTCTCATCCCCACAGCCAGAGCCCAACCCTGACGCTGCAGTCTACCAACACGCACACCCACAGCAGCAGCTCCAGCTCGGACGGGGGCCTCTTCCGCTCCCGGCCTGCACACTCGCTCCCACCCGGTGAGGACGGCCGCGTTGAGCCCTATGTGGACTTTGCTGAGTTTTACCGACTCTGGAGTGTGGACCATGGCGAGCAGAGCATGATGACAGCTCCATAGCCCGTCCAGGGAGTGCAGCTCCAGCAGGGTCTTCATGGGGACGAGGGGTCCAGCACTGGGACAAGACAGGGTTTCAGCCTTTCCTGACATCGACCTATGCCACAGGGCCAGTGGGTGCTCTGTCCTCAGCCTGCACCAGACTCTACCCACAGCTCTCAGGGCTGTAGGGAGGGTGAGTGCAGACTGGCCCATTGTCTGCACCTTGTCACTGCACAGGAGGATCATTGCCGTTTCTCAGAACAAAAGGCCTAAGTGTGGAAGCTGTGCTGGCTTGCAGGCCACCCTGAGGGTTCCTTGACCCGTGTGCAGCAGAACGGGAAGAAGTCTCCTGTGAACCCCGAGTGTCACAGGCCCCACAGAAGCTGCTCTCTCAAGGCCACACTCCACCTGCCACCACCTTCCTGGACCAGCCTGCGGCCACTGCTCATGTTCCTTACACCTCTGGATGGTGGTTCCCCTGATTCTGTAGCTTGTCAGCCCCGTGCTCCTAAATCCAGCATGGAGCCCTGGTTGGTGCCTGCACTTGTCCCTGGGCCCATCCCCGTACATGCCCTGGTAGTTGTTAGTGGGAAACATTCAGGAAGACCAGGGAGGCTTCGGGAGCCTGCGATAGCCCCAGTGGGGGCAGGTCAGGTAGAAAGGAACTAATAGAAGCACTGGTCCCAGAGCCACCAGGAGAGAGGGCTGTGCAGCCGGGCTTCCCCAGAGGTGGGGGTGCGGGAGCAGTGGGGACGTGCCCAGTAGAGGTGGCAGGGCCTGCTCCTGTCTGTCCCTGTCAGGAGTGGGAGCCCCAGAGTCAGGGAGGTCTGCTTCCTGCCTCGCCTTTTCCTTATTGGTGCTGGGGACATCCACAGATTGGGGAGCAACTGAGATTAACCGTCTTTACCACCAATGATGAGCCTCTCCTGGCTCCGGGGTAGCGAACAGGTTGTGAGTCAGACCATGGGGGCTCGTTTGAAAGAGAAGTGTGGGACATAGTTCCGAGGGAAGAGGCTCTTTGGGACGAGTTGCTCTGGCAGACCGAGGGCTCTGGGGATGTGCACAGTTTTTACAGACCCGTAGAAGAACATGGGGGCTCGTTTGAAAGAGAAGTGTGGGACATAGTTCCGAGGGAAGAGGCTCTTTGGGACAAGTTGCTCTGGCAGACCGAGGGCTCTGGGGATGTGCACAGTTTTTACAGACCCGTAGAAGAAGCGTTAGGCCAGTCCCGTTTCTGGGTTAGACTATTTCCCATGTGTTCTCTGCTTTCAGAGGGGAGGGGGTGCCGCCAGGCTGTCAGCTAGGATTGCCGTTCCTATTTTCTGAGGAGGAAGCAGGCCCAGAGAGACTTGCACCTTGCCCAAGTCACACAGCCAGAGCTCAAACTGTGGCCTTGTGTCAGTGTCTGAGGCCCCCTCCCCAGCACACAGCCTCCTTTCCCCACGATGCCAAGATACAGGTCACCAGGGACTGGCACTGCGGGGCAGCCTCTGGTGTGCTTGGCCTCAAACATCAAAGGCCAGATCCAGAGCCCCTGCTCGCTCTGTGCTCCAGGAATCCTCCCCTGTGGCAGAGCAGGGCCCAGCACAGGACCCAGGAAGGCTGGCTTTCCTAGGGAGGCCATGACCTAAGCAGAGGAGAAACGGGTCTCGGCAGAGGGCCCCGGCTCCACCTCCACTGTGAAGCAGTCTCTGTTCTGCAGGTGAGCGGATTTAAAGTTGGTCACAAAGGCTTGGGAACAAAGGGAATTCTCTTCCAAGACTGTCTCTAGGATTCTGTTTGGTCTCTGGAAATAGAATCCCTTTTGTAATGCAATAACGAAGAGTAAATGGAGGTATGACATGCTGCAAGTGTCAACAGTGCTGTTACCTGTGTCTCATGGAGCTCTGGCAGCAGCAGTGGGAGGCAGATACCGCCTCTTGTACGCTGCTGTCGAGGTTAAAGCACTAAGCTCACCAGGCTCTAAGTGGCAGGGTTGGGATTTGAACCCAGGCCTCCTGACTGTATTCCACGCTACTGCCCTCACACCCTAGGGGAAAACATGGGCTATCTGGCCCCCCTCCAGGTCCCTGCTCACCCGGTCCCTATACATCTGGAGAGTGTGACAGAGTTTTCCCCACAGTGTGCTGGCTCCTCTGGGCCCGTGGGTGTTGGCAGAGGTGTTGCAGCGCCCCCGCTCTTCCTGAGTGTGAGCCCAGGGTCCTGGCATGTGCGTGGTGGTGTGATCACCCAGTGCTCGGGTCACCAGGACAGAGGCCTCGCCCTCTCACCCACCAGCTTGCTTTATTTGGTTTTGTTTTGGAGAAGGGTATTCTATAAATACTAGGGCATAGAGTACCTCTTCCTGCTTTCTGGGACTTAATTCATCCCTCCAAGATGAGAGTCTGCAACCAAAACACTGTCAGCTTAGCAACAAATCCAAGCTCTGTCTGGCGCGGTCAGAGGGTCCCGGATGCAGCCCTCCTCTCTCTGCTGGGCAGGGGCTCTAGGTTTATGATCTGTCCCCTTCTCAACTTCCCCAGCTGTGCCCTGACAACCCCCATGACCCCTGAATGCTCCTGGAGCCATGGGGTCAGCCCAGCCACCCCAAGAGGGACATGGTGAGCGTACTGTATCTCATGAGTAACAGGTACAGACAGGTTCAGGCATGGTCCTGGTCACAAGTGACCACTTCCAATCCCTTGGTCCCTGGACCTCTTCAGCACCTGCTCTGCCCTAGGTGGGTGGGGGGAGTGGGGGTTGTGTCCCCAGGCCCCCACCTTGATGTCATTTAGCTGTGCTTTAGCCTGTCTGCTGGGGGCAAATGGAGGTGAGAGGAGCACCATTGAAGCCCCCAGGTTCCCTGCAGTGGCGTTAGACATGAGGACTGTTGGAAACCGACCACCACAGCTAAGCAAAGCTGTCCACAGTCACAGGTGAGTCACTGCTCCCGAGTCTGTGTCCCAGGTGGTGTCTCACATACAAGGTGGTCAGACTGCTGACGCTGGCCTGAGGTGGCCCCTTCAGCGTTGACCTCCTCACACAGTCTCAATGGGGAAATTGCCCAGCTTCCCTGAGGCTGCGTTAGAAAGAACCAGAGAACCCCACCCAGTGCTTGCCACCCCTACCCATTTATCCCTTGGAGATGTTCAGTCATTTGGTCACAGGCTTCACTGAGGCCCTGGCCTGCATCAGATCGGTGGGGCCAGGCCCTGGTGAGTCACTGCTTGTCCCAGGGCCGGGGACAGGCGGGCAGGGAGGGAGGGCCTCTGCAGCACCCTTGGGCCATCATCTCTAGGGTTGGTTGGTGTTTCCATTCCAAGTCCTTGGCTGCAGAGCTAAGCTGTGGGAACTTCCCCAAATGCCCTTCATTGTTGGCGGGGCCTTCCCACCAGTCCTAGTGGGGCAGTGAGACCTGTCTGGAATGACTCGGCCGTTCTGACTTGATCATGCTCTTGGCATGGCTGGTTCCTTGTCACATCTCAGCACAGATGATGCCTCCTGAGAGAGGCTTGCCCTGGCCCCACTCAGCAACACCCTGCCCATCTCCCTGCTCAGTTTTCTTCCCAGAAACTCTCACTGTCTGACGTTTCTTGCACCTGTATCTGTGTCATCTCTCACCCACTAAGATATCAGTTCCATGAAAGAAGAGATTTTGTCTGCCTCATTCCACTAGGTCCCCCACCCCAAGGTCAGTGCCAGGCACATAGTAGCCCCTCACATAAGTGTTGCATGAATCAATGAGTGAATGAATGAATAGCCGTGTGACCTTGGGCAGGTTTCTTGAGCCGAGCCTGCTGGCTTTTTTCATGTAGAAAATGAGGATGTGACCCACTTCTTAAGATTGTCTGACATGTCTGAGTCAGCGGTGAGAAGAACTGCCCTTGCCCTACTGATGTGGAGATTGGGACTGGGACAGTTAGCAGAGCATTAGCTGAGATTCCCACCCCTCCGCTGCATGCACACACACACTGGTTCTAGCGTGAGGCAGGTGCCAGGTTGGTGCACCTGCAGCTCCATCCCGGAACCCAGACGCTGGGCGATGGGTATGGTTCTTGCCTCTTCTCAGCCAAAGCCCCGACAGAGGCCACTGACCAGGCTCTCAAACATTTCCTCTGACAAGGGCCTCTTTCATGATTTTTCCTTCTGGGCTCCCTGTTTTGAAACCAGACAAGGATACATCACTACCAATCCCGACAGGCTCAGCATGAGCACACGCTTTGTTCCCACGCGGAGTTGATGTCAGCCCAGAGCAGAGACAGGCAATTGATGATTCCGGGAGCCTGGGCGGCCTGGTTGAGGACATCGTCTGGTAGCCGGCTTTGAGAAGTACTGACACCAGTTCACGGACTCCATCGCTGCCTTCAGAGACCCCCAGATGGGTCGGAGGACCCCAGGTTATGTGGGCCTGTTGTCTAATCCAGCCCCTCTTGCCCTGGTTCTCCTGAGTCACAAAGGGGGCCAGGCCAAAAGCCGGGGTGGGCCATGCATGCTGCAATTAAGCTTCTGTATTATCACTTCAGCAAAGCCATCCTGTGGGCCAGACGATACTGACCTCCAGAACCTTCCGTGGCTCTAGCCTCCTACCTGCTGTGTGCTCACTCTTAATCCAACACCCCCAGCTCCTCCAGTCATCTCAATAGCCCTGGGCCAGCCTTGGGAAGTGTTTAAGAAATGTCAGGAGAACATGAATGGACACATAGATGAACTGCCCAGAGCAGATCTTCTGGAACTTTGTTATAAGGAATATCTTTACGCTATGGAAAACTGTCCCCACCCCAGAACCCGCAGAGTTTTGGGGGTTTGTAAGAAATTAGATGTTTCATCATTTATTTCGAATAGGTGAACTTTGCAGTCAAATCCATAATATTCCTGAGTTCATTTTACTATAAAATTTGTGTCTGAAGGCTTGCTGGATCTTATTGCTAGCCCCATTTTACAGCTGAAGAAAGAAAGCACAAGGTTAGGGAGCATGGGCAAAGTGATCAGGAGATACGGTTCTCCATATCAGAAAGGACTTTCTAACACTGAGCAGTTAGGCATCGGAAGGGGCTGCCCGCGGGAGGTGGGGAGCTCCCGCCATGGCTGCGTGAGCAGCAGCTGCACACCTGCCATCAGACAGGGTGGGGAGGATCATGCTGCAGGCCGCAGCCTGGCTGCACAGCAGAGTACTTCGGAAATGAAGAGGGGGTGGCTGTTAAAAATACAGATTCCTCCCCTTACTGGCCAGCCACAAAAAAAAAAAAAGGCATGTGCTACTGCAGACTCTTGTCTGGAGGCAGGGCTGACAGGATTCTGTAAGTCTCACCTTTGGGTGCTCCTGGGTGGCCTTAGAGAGGACCCATTAACCTCTCTGATCTCTGTCTCATCTCCAAGTGGAGGTTTACAGCTCAGCCTTTCATAAAAACAAAAACAAACACCTACCACTGAATGAGTTCTATGTTCCAGCATGTAGCTGACATGTAATTTCTCATTTAACAGTCAACATCTTGGCAAGGAATAGGTATCTTTTTTTTTTTTTAAAGATGACCGGTAAGGGGATCTTAACCCTTGGCTTGGTGTTGTCAGCACCACGCTCACCCAGTGAGCTAACCGGCCATCCCTATATGGGATCCGAACCCGTGGCCTTAGTGTTACCAGCACCGCACTCTACCGAGTGAGCCACGGGCCAGCCCTAGGAACAGGTATCAATGACGCCACTACAGAGATAAGGAAACTAAGACTCCGAGAGGTTAAGCAAGTTGCCCAAGCTCACACAGAAGCAGGGGTTTGAACTCTGGACTTTTCTCTACGTACCATGAAGTTTCCTCCTAATTTTCAAGGGCCCTTCCAGGCCCGAGAGGTGAAAACAAGGTGCTCTTGAGTGCTGGGGCCCCTGCCCTGCTCCCAGCAGGCAGCCAGGCCTTTACCCTCCAGGCAGGACTCTGTGGGGTCCTCCTTGAAGAATCTGATTCTCCCAAGAACAAAGGCTTGAAAGTGCTAACATGGGGGTTCCCCGTCAAGTGCACCCCCACACCTCCCTCAGTGAAATCAAGTGTCTGTCCTAACGCAGGAGCCAGTTGATTCTGGCAATATGCATCTAGAACTTTTGATAAG